CAAATATTCTGTGATATGTGGCCTGTCTTGGGCACCTTTTCCATAGCCCAAGAGGCACAGGAACTTTGGTTTCTGTGGTGATTCTCAGGAACAGCATGATGTTTAACCACATGCTCTTCCTTGTCATGTTCCAGATTGATCCTTCTCTTTTCACTTGGTCCAAGCTGCTATCTCACATCACCTTCTCCTGTGTATGTCAGAAATGTATCTGTCCCCATGCTTTCACAGCACCTTTTGTTCTTACCACTCCTCTGCCCATGTTGCTGTGTGGGACAGCAGTGCTGACTGCAGGGGCAGCATGTTTGTGCATGGTGTCCTGTGGATATTTCTTTTAAGAAGCTGGTTCAGCCCACCCTTTTGCAGCTTGCTCTCATGTCTCCCAGCCATGGGACTTTGAGCTCATTGCTCTGAGCAGGAGCAGCATCCTGCTCCCCCAGACACACAGTCTGCTGTATACTGTCTGGCTTTTCAAGCTGAGTCTAGGCCTTATTTCTGAAAGGACTCCTGGAGCCTTGAGAGTCTCTGGCAAACTTTTCTCCAGTGTTTCCATTAAACAAAGGGAAAAATGGGGGAGTGTGCTATGGTAATAGAGTTGGCACATTTATCTCCAGTGTACTGATGCAGGAAAGCTCCAGTAAGGATGGGAAAGCAGAGCAGCCCAGCCTATAGCTTACTTGCACTGCCGTAACTTGCAATTGAGTCATTCAGATGTAGCCTTCCCTCACTGCTTTAACTTGTACTGGTCCAAAAGTGGAAAGCTGTTAGCTGGTAACTGCTTTCACCTTTTTTCTCCTTATAGCTCTGGATGATTGGGGGAGAGGAGCCACCTCTCACTGAAGTTCACCTTTATGCTCAGGCTGAAAAAAATCCCCAAGATGTTTCCCTTTCTTGGTGTACCCACAAGTTAGCTGTGCAGAAGGCAGACAGCATGTCAGAACTGCACTCTTTGGTCCTTTGCTTATATTAGTGGGAGAGGATGCAGCTGTAGTGGCATTCAGACTAGTGCCAAGGTGCAATAAAAGAGAGGAAGATAGCACCAGCTACTGTCGTCAGGCTGGTCATCTGCTTCAGTTAAAACAAAAATGTCACCAGATAGGACTCGAGCATTTTCAGTCACAGACCTGCTTTCCACTGTTTGCTTATTCCCGAGTTCATCATTTGTTTCCCTTCCAAGAGCAAGAAGCTCCTCTGCTAACAAACACGTAACAGACATGTTCTCTCACTCTCTTCTCCATGCCACCCCCCCTCCCCTGCCTTGGGAAAATTATTTTGGCTGAAGAACACCACTCAGAGCAAGTTGTGTGGGGGAATGAAATAAATTATTTGGGCTAGTAGTCTCCACATTTTTTGGACCAATTGAACCACTTCAAGCTTCGAGAATTTCTCTTACTTTCAAACTTGACAAAATGGAAGTGTTAGTTTGCAGTGCTGACACTGGTATTTCCCTCTTTATAACTCCACAGGAGGTTGGTTTCTAACTTGCACTTCTTGCCCTGGCAGCCTAGAATGGGTCTGTTTCTCTTGGTGCAAACTCTCCAAGCACAGGCAGGGGGGAAGGAAAGGAGAAAGAGACAATTGTCACTAGAATGAGTCCAGCCAAGAAGAAAAATCATTCTGCACCAAACTTTATCACTGCTGATCTACAGACACTGTTAGAGAAGAGCTGTGGTCCCCTCCCACGCCAAGCCACTTAGCTAGATCAGAGGGATGAAGCTGTGCCCTGTGTTTTCACTCAAAGCACAGGAGAGAGCAGTGAGCAAACTCTTCAAGCTTCCCCTGTGCAGCTTGTGTATCATGTCAGCTGGGGACAGATGACCAGGGTGACAACCAACCACCCTCTCAGAAGCTGTGGGGCTTGCTCTGCTCCAGTTCTTCAGCCCTGATTAATTCTCTGTGCAGCAGCAGCTGGAAGCTGAACTGTTCTGTACTGCCAGAAATTCAGTACTTGGCTGAGAGCTTCAGCATTTCCTTTTGCTGGCAGAGAGGGATGCACTTTTGCAGGGAAATGCATGCATGCTGCAGTTCCAGGGAGCATGCTGAGCATGCAGTCTTAGTAAAGTCCTTGTGGGAGGGCATCTCAGTGCTTATTCAAGTCCTCTAGTTATCAGGACAAGCCTTACAGCCCTATCATGCCAGACTATCTCTGCCTTTGTTTCCTGCCATGGCTTTTGCAGCAAATCTAAAATAATTTTCTCCCTCCTCCCTTGCAGCAAATCTGAAATAATTCCCCCCATCACCTCCCCCTTTTGAGGAAGGGTAGCTCTGTGAGAACTGTGTAAGCCCCTTTTTATTGAATATTAAATAAACATATAAAGCTGTCAGAATAGAAAGAGGAAGCTAAAATGTGTATTAAGGCATCTATGATCACCTCCTCTCCTCTGCAGTACCTGGGATTCCAATCCTTCCAGCCCATCCCTGTTGCACTGTCGCCTTAGTTGTGTTTTGGGTTACAAGTAGGGCTGTTTCTTCTCCCATTTGTTTTCTTTCCTGCATCTAGTCTCAGTCTAGCTGCTCCTCATCCACTGTTTTTCTCTGTTTTTGTGTTAGCTCTTAATGGCATCAGTCTAGAGAGTCAACTCTCACTCCTTGTGCCCCCAGTAGGTAAACAATAAACTACCTTCCTCATACCTGCTGGATAACTGCACATGACAAGGAAGCAGTATCTAGTTCTTCACAAAATACCACTGCCAAATTCCCCTCTGCATAGCCCTTAATTAGGTTTAGTGAGCCAAAGCTTTGAACCATGAGCTTCTGTGCCACTTTTCTCAATGTATTTGAACATAAAGTAAGGTAGGATGCTTGTCTCCTCAATGTGCTCTTGCTCCTCACAACAGGCAGTGAAAATGCCAGCACTAGGGCATCTTCATCAATGCTTCAGGACTGCTGCTATCAATTGAAGTGGGACATGTCCCAGGGGCTCTCTTCCAAGCACCCCTCTAATAATAGCCTGTTTAACAAAGCATGGGTTAATTAGTGCCTGGAGGTAATTTTGAGGGGAGACTGAGTGCAGTCTTCCAGTCGACCTGTATGGATCAGCAACTGGTATTTTCTTGGCCACTCCCCTGCCCACCACTCTGACATTCAGCCTCTCTGCCCCTCACAGTCCTGCAATACACAGGAGCCCGTTCTCACCTGGATCATTTAATGTGACTTTAGAGATCAGTCGCTCCTTTTTTGAAAGCCGTCACTTGTACCACAGCTGGATGCTCACAGCTGCTGCTCATATCCCAGTGAAGATGTGTTGCCAGGCCAGTGGTCTGTTCTTGGCATGTCTTGCAGCCCATGCAACCCTGTGCAACAGGGAAACAGAGAGACATGTGTAGATAGCTCTAGAGAACAGCAATGGGTTACTCAAAAGGCATGGTAACACCTACACCATAAGTTAGGTGCTGCAGCCAAAGTCTTAAAGCTGACATCCGAGCCCAGCTTCTTATCTGCTGCTCCCCGTCTCATTCAGGACCTAGTGTGCAGTACAGCCCTCGGCTTGGTAACCTGCTCCTCCATTTCAATGGAGGAGAATTGCTTCACATCCCCCTCCAGATCCTATTTTCCCCTCACTTTCCATCCTCTCTCTCCCGCCCTGGCCTGCACACCAGAGGAGCCTGGGTTTGTCCCAGAGTTACCCACCAGACTGGAATTCACTTGAGCACGGGTATATGCAGCAGCCAGATTAGTTACGTGCAGAAAGCTGCCTACTTAGGCGGTTTAACCTAATTTCCACATCACTGGCTTCCTTTTTCAGCTCAGTGGAGTTGAAAACGCAGGGGCCCTGCTTCCTATTTCTCTCCAAGTACAGGATTACCCGACGCAGGGCAGGGAGGGAACAAATCCGTCTGATCTGTACCTGGGAATTAGTGGGGTGTGAGATACACCCCTCAGGTCAGGCTGAGGGTGCAGGCTGTGTGCTGCAGGGGTAAAGAAGCCTGCGGCACTTCCCCAACCCTCCACCTTTCACCAGCTTCCTCGGAGCACCAGCTCCGCGAGCCCTGGGCCACGAGGAGCAGTTCATGCTGACCTCGCCATTAAGCCATGGGTCCAAGCTCGAGGTGTAGCAGGTTTAAGCAGAAATGTAACTGAAGCCGGCAGAAGACTGCTGTTCCTCAGACCAAGAAGCACCCAGAGTACACCATATAGCCCAATGGCTTTGGCCCTTTCCCCAGGCAGGAGCCGGGCTGACAGCAGAGCCCTTCCCAGGGGCTCCTCCCACCCTCCCTCCTGCGCACCCTCAGCGCCGGGGACGCAGCCCCCGCCGGCCTTGGCCCCGGTATCGCCTCCGGGCGGCAGGCAGGAGCCAGCGGGCGCCGGCGTCGCCCTTCGCGGGCTTCGAGTGGCGCCGGAGCCCAAGATGGCGGCGGGGGACGCCGGGGTTGGGATGGGGGGGGGGTCCCTCCGCGTCCGCCCCCTTCCGCGCACAGGCCGCCCCGCCC